TTTTTCTACTTAAACCATCTCTACAAAACCCAAAAGCGGGGTTTTAGCTCGCAATTTTGAGCTCATTTTCGCAGCATTGTCCTCTTCAACTCAAACCTGCAAATACAGTTTTTGTGGTTTAACACTTCTTCGTAAACTAATAAAAACTTTCTGGTTTAAGCCATCACGAACGCCTATCGAGGCATTTAAACTATTTTTTTTTTTAAGTGTAAGATTAAAGACGCTACATTACATGTTTTTCCTTTTCGCAGTTATTCAGCTTAAATTTTTGAAGTTATTGCAATTGTTGTTCAACATGTTTAAAGTATATTCTCACCTCTTTAGTGTTTATCTATCCCGGAAAAGGATTCTTTATAAGTCTTATTCTATGTACACCGAATCTTTTTTCCTTTTACAACAAAAATCATTCAAGAAATTGTGTAATGGCAGATTGCAGCAAGTGAAACTTCTTGGCCCATGCAACTCACGTTTCTTATGCCGCATTTTCTACTGTGCTCTCTCCCTCTTTCTCCATTCGGTAGTGATCCCAGCAAAGAACTTTGTTGTTGTAAAAGTGGAAGTTTTCTCCAACCCTGAACCTCTGTCTGCAAATTTGACAGGAAAAGCACTCGATATGATATGCGTTTTTCGCGGCCCTCATCACAAATTCGAACGCAGCTATTGGTTTGTTACATGCAGCGCACACACCTGGGATACCAAACAATCTGTAGGCAGAACAAAATGAATAATTAGGATTGTTAACTCTTTAACTCCCGTAGGTGACCAAACCAGAATTTCCCTTCACAACATCAATTCAATATCAAGCAGATAAGTAATAAGAATAGGGAATTATCTGTCGATCCAATATCAAATTCTCCAAACTTATATCTCAAGAATGGTACGGCGAACAGCAAGGAGAATTATTAATGAGATCTTGGGAGGGAAAGTGTTAATCAGGGCCGTAAGAGTCTTGTCAACGACTTTTTTTTTTTTTTTTTTTTTTTTTTTTGTAATCTCTTTTGTCAACGACGTTATCTCAGCTACTAGCCACTGTATGTTTCAATCTTATTAATGGAGAAGGCTGTGTCAAACTACTTATTTGCCAGGGCAACCTTATATTCAAAGTTTGTTAAGAAGGACGGAAAAGACACATTAGCAATTTTGAACCTGCAAAGAGCAAAGATGGCTTGGGATGATGAAGCAGCGTTTTATTGTGTTTTTATTTCTGTTTTGTCTTGTTTGGATTTTTGTTTGTTTTCTTATTTTTTTTTTGTTTTTTGTTTTATAAGTATGGTGGACATGGATAATAGTTTCAGGTCCCTCCCGTTTCACGTTTGTTTGTTAGTTTTTTATGTTTTGCTTTTCACTTTATTGTTGACGATTACAGAGCAATGAACCTGACCAGTGTCCAGACCTCAACCATAATTTAATGACTCGTCTATGGCCTTTAAGACCAGTTTTCTGAGTTAACGCAAAGATTTTTCAGTTGGCTAACCCTTAAAGTATATTAAAACTAATTTCCAGCAAGTTTATGAGAGACTAACTGTGCTAGTATTTTGCGTCTGACTTGATAGCGCCGAAAAGGTCAAAAGCTTAAAATAGGTCCATACTAACGTAAGGACATTTCTTTTTCAGTTCCAAGTTGTAGTCAGTTTGGCTATGATCCTAGTCTTCGCTTTCTGTCTCAAAAATCGCCCTTACGCACTATTAATTTATCAGCCAGTATGAATTCTGATGTCAGAGTTTAAGCAGGTTTCTTCTCTTTTCTGAAGAAGATCTGGTACCAGCTGAGCCAGAGACCGTTTTACTCAATCCAGTAATCATTCTCTCCCCCTATATGGTAATGACATGTCTCTGGTCTCTGTACTTCATTTAAGAAGTCCTGTCTGTAACCCGACTCTTGTCTGAACACTAGTTGCAAATTTTCTTTAAAAAAAACGGTGTGTAAGCACTTCACCTTGCCACACCCACTGTGAACCAATCGGCTGGAGTGGAACCGATCTTTTCTGTGATATATATTGTAAAAACAGGAATAATCGACTTCATTCAGTTTAAAACCAGACGTCAATGACCTCGATTCATAGACTTCCATTGTTCCGGAATCTTCTGAATCGCTTCCGATAACTTTAGCTGTAGTTCCACCCGGAAAAAATGTTGAGGCGAGGCTAATAAAATGCAGTTCGAAAGCTCAATACGTCGCGGTAGGAGCCAAAAAATCGCTCAGGAAAAACATTTTCTCAGAGCCAATCCGGTTTTTGTCAGTTGAAAATTTAGCAGGTTTCTTGGTATCAGAGATTTCCCTTCCTGTTCATTTCGCTTTCTTTTACGATGTCTTGCAATACTAAAACTATTTATTTGACCTCGTACTCAAGTAACAATGTCTTGATTAACTTTGTTGGTGGTTGCGAGCGAGACGAAAATATTTCTATCAACTGCAATCACTGAAAACAACGCTGCTTCTAGTTACTACTTATTTTTTTTTTTTATCTTTGAAATAGTCATTTTTACTGACCTTAAATAATCTCTCTTGCAGAGAATGAGGTTAGCTTTATTGTAAAGCGTCGATCCAATATCACCGAGTTTGCATTCACAGCAGTTACACTTTAAACAGCCTTCGTGCCAGTAAAGTCCCAAAGCTTCCAACAAGTAGCGATCTGTAATTGGCATTTTGCAGCCGCTGCAAAGATGTGTATTTTGTCCTGTTTTCACAAGGCCCGTGTTCTCCGTGGCTAGTTAAAGATAAAGTGAGCACAATTTTAATAAAATGATAATTTACGCTGCATCAACGTCAAACGGCTTAAAAAAAATTGTATGTGTGAGTGTTTTTTTTTTGGTTCAATGCGATTGAGGATTTATCATTTTTGTATTTGATCATACCATGCGCGATGATCTTGCGACATGTTCTCCTTCTTCTTGTTTAAGACGCCAGCAATTTACGTCGTTAAGCTTAACGTTACCTCGTGTTTTAAACATTTAATTCCTGTTACCTGATTCATTCTGTCATGTGGGACCACGAACAGAACAAACCAGGTAGATCTTTGATATAAATTTTCGTACCTACCCATGATGTCAGCTTGTGTCAAGATTTGTCTTTCTTTTCCCTCGACTAAAAGTTGTTTTCGACGCGCGTACAGCGAGATTAACGTCGACAAGAAGTTTTCAACCAGCGATTTCTTGTAAAACCATTGTCTTCCGGTATGTCATCAACAGTGTTCATTGCTAATGATATCTGGCGGCGATCTAACTAAAACACTGTTGTTTCGGTCAGTAATTACCTCTAATGACGCGACTCTTTCTATTGGCCAAGATGGACCAAATAGAACAGGTATCCATGAGAAGGGAGAAGAAATGATAGCAATTATTGAATGCGATAAGCAAATTGAAAAATGGAATGGTTAACCAAGCATATTTTCCTGTCATTTATATCGGCCCCGTTTCTTACTTTCAGAAATTAATTAAAATGATAAGAAAAGGGGGAAAAATCAGGATTTCTACATGGCTTAGCAAGACTTTTAAAGAGACGTCTTAAGTGCGGTTTTTTAAAATCGAAAAAATCAGCACTCGTAGGATTAATCTCTGAAGATGAGAGAATAGACACTAATTGGCCAGCTGTCCGTAGTTTGCATGCAAATTCTTAAAGGCAATTACTATCAAGTTTTGTTTTATATCGCTAATGGCTTCTCTTTTATTTCTACGGAAAACAGTTTCAATTGCAGCAAAAAAACTTGTAATTAGCCATCGCTAATTTATCACACACCCGGGATTGAAATTCTGCAAACAATTTTTCCATATTTTATTTTTGTAAACCCTGCTTTTCCGGATGAAATTACATCTGGTATTCAATCAAACATTTTTCCCCCTCACTCTAGAATTAATATTTGAGAGCTTTAGGGCGGAGAAATTTTTTAGCCTTTACTTGTAATTTAGACAAGAGCGACTTATTAATTGCTCGTTCATTATAAAGAGAATAACAGGCTTTTTGACAATGAATAAAGGCGAAAATATCCGTCGCCACAAGCTGATTTACACAGGTACCAAAAGTAGAACAATGACCAAAATTAAAAAACACCGTAAACAGGAATGGAAAAGTTTAGAATATGGCAGATTTTTCCATTTATTTTTGTCAGGGAATCAATATTGCCTGCTGCACTCGTTTTTTGATCAGAAAATAGAAGACTTTGGAGAAAACATTTTGCGCTGACGAGTACTGCACCCCGTGAAAAGCTTATTTGTATCTCAACTGCTTTTCTTTCAGTGTCGTTGTAAAAAAATGCAATCATTAATTCATCTACAGCCTCAATCCACATTTTTTTTTTCTTCTTTCTGGGTGAATAACCAGTTTGAAGTCTAAGATAAACTGTATTCAGTACCCCTGTTGCTTTGTATTTCTATCTTTGTGTACTCAATCTTATCATCTGCTTAAAAAAAATTGTCTTTTGACAAACATGTAATAAAATCGAACGCGTACAGTGTCTTTTAATCATGTATTACCACAAGTCTCCGATTTTCATAGCCATTCAAAGATTCATTCAGTTCGCGAAAATGGACATAGGCTTTACTCGGAAAGCTGGCGAACTTAGAGCAATTCATTCGATTTAACCATTTGAAGGTCTGCATTTCAGTAATCGTAATCGAATAAGGAAGAAATTCTTCAGTACCTGCAACTCAAATACCAAACTTCCACAACATTAACCAGACAAGCGTTACAGTGAGATTGAAATTAAAACTCGTAAAACCGTTAGGCGCTTTCAAAATCCATCTCAACAACTTTTATCTAAATTTAGCAGAAAAACGAACGTAGTTTTTTATGGAGCTGTGAGCAAAAAACGTGACTCAAGAAATGATTTTAAAATCTTTTGACACGCGTGTACAGAACAAAGGAAAATTGATTTGACCTGGGGATAAAGATATTCCATAATATGCCCTGTAGAATAACGCTATTGCTTTGCTAACATGTTAGTACACCAAACTTGTGCCGTGATATTATGTTCACAAGAGCATTGTAAAAAGTTTACATAGTGACGGAAGCAATAAAAACGTTCGAGTCCGAAATTGTTCGCGTATTTTTCAGCTTTGTTGCACTCATCATTCTCCTTTAGCCACACTTCGTAATCCTTTCTACGGTAAGGATGAGCATTTTCGACAGAGCTATCATTTTTCTTAAATAACCTCAGTCCTATTACAAATTGACATCACGCACCGACTTCATAATGGGAGGTAAATACTCTAGTTCCCCATCATCTGAAAATGCCTAAATCCAACACTGCTTTTCTTGGGTCCGTGAAATGGAATGTTACAACAATAGGAAATGGAAGACCTGGTTCCAAACGAACTGGCTCTATCCCACTTCAGCTTTCAAAACGGGTTCACGAAATTTTCACTGAGTTTTAATGCAGATAAAGATCGAAGTTGACTTAGATCTTTCTACCATGCGGACATGCAGGAGGGCATAGCACTTTCATCAGTCTCTTCTTGCTGTTTACGTTTGATATTTTTACGACTGAGATAAGAAAGAGCCCAGACAAGTTTTTCCAGTAAAATCTGCAGGTCGGCCACGTTTGTGCAAAGTTCGCGATGTACTTGATAACAAAATAAACTTGGTTATGGCGATCACGAACCACTTTCCAACGCAACAAGTGAGAATCTGTACTCTGTTTATGTCTTTCAGCCAAGAGGTCATCTGTGTGTGACAGAATCCAGTGCGCCAATGGTTTTGTTTGTAATCCTTCTGTCCCAAGACGACCTTGTGAAGGTAAGGTTGCGAAAATGGTCACACAATTTCATACTCTTCCTTGTTAATCAGTTAAGAGAATTCAGCGTTGTATCTTTTTATATTTTGGTCACCTGTTTGCTGAATAATGGTACAATTATAGAGAGAAATAGGAAAAAAGCCTCATTTTTCGATGAGCCCTTATGTCTTATCAAAACGCTTCTCTTCTGCTGTTTAGAGCTGCAACATTCGCTGCTAACATAAACGGCCATTGCGGATTTCGCTCGCCATTCCTCTACTTCTTAAAAAGATGCGACGAAAATATCTCTCATTTGCATTTAGAATTTTCACGTTACTGCACAAGTAGGTGAATGGAAATCAACAAAATCTAAATATTTTTCTTCTGAACCAAAAGGATTTTACTCCGAAAACTTATTTTTATAGCTTTATTTCCTTAGATATAGATGAATGTTTACTGTCTCCTCCCAAATGTAAACCAGATGAAACATGTGAGAACTACATAGGAACATACAGGTGTCGTCGAGGTACGGTCAATATCAATATTTGCTTGATGAGTGTTTTTCATTATGTTGCAATGTTGCAATCCCTCGAGGTACGGTCAATATTAATATCTGCTTGATAAGTGTTTTTCATTATGTTTTGCATGTTGCACCCCTCTTCTTTTGGTGGGAATTGCTTGAGAAGCAAATATCGATTGAGAACGTTTACAAACATTGACGGTGGAGAACGAACGTAGCCACTTTAAGGTGGCTAGTACCAGTTTTAATCTTTTTGATGGTTTGTAACTTTGAAAGAATTGCAAATCTGTTGTTTGTGCATGACCAAAACAACAAGTATTTCTGTCATATCTTTAAAAAAAAATTCCTATCCTCTTTCTCTCCCTTTTTCCCGTCCTCACGCCCAATGATCTAACAGCAGCTCAATGAAATAGTCAGAATCTTCTCCGGCTGCCGGAGATCGCGAAAGCAGAATTAAATTTTAATCTGTTTCTATTTCAGATCCTTGTATAGGTGTAGATTGTGGTGAAGGGCGGAAATGTCAGCCATCTGGCAGGTCGTATAGTTGTGCGGGTAAGGAAATAAGGCCATCATTAGTTCAGCGCCTTATTACCGTAACAGATCGCTAATAAGATATGGAAAATAGAGGAATGAGACTTTTTTACGTCACAGATAAGCGGCTAGGTTGCTTAGTAAGATCTAATCTAAGACAAAATACGAAAGGCCTCACTCTGGAATCTGGAACGCGATCAGTATCATAACTTCGCTGAATGGTTTCTGGAGAATGCCTCTCTTTAGATAAAGGCGGAAAGTAAAGGTTGAGGATTTAAGTAATTATTCAATTCTCAAAGGCACTTATCAACAGGAATGATGGTGGAAAGGGAGATTTCTAAAAAAAAATTCTCTCACACCCCTGTTTTTCAGATATTGACGAGTGTGCTACATTGCCAAGAAAGTGCACGGGAGATCAGGAGGTTTGTGAGAATTACTATGGAGGTTACAGATGCAAATGCCGAGATCGATTTCAGAAAAATGACCAGTCAGGAAAATGCGAACGTAAGTTTTACTTGTTTCATGCTTACGGCTGGTTTGCGACTTTTGTTCCTGTTTGTTCTTTCTTACACAAACAATATCTGTATATATGTCGAAGCTAAATGAATGGTGCAAATACTGTTTTATTTTTTTCTTACAGGTATGAATTCTTGTTCGTCAGTTAGATGTCCCAGTGGATACAAATGTGTGGTTATTGATGAAAGCAGTTATTCATGTCGAGGTAAAGAGTGATGAGGTGTAATAGACCACTTTCATAAATGGCTGCCGGATTAATATTCTTTTGTTTAAATTTAAATTAGCCTTTCTGGCCACGTTCTCCAGTACAAAATTCAAAAGAATACATTATCTCAAGCGAGGCCAGAAAGGCTAATTTAAATTTAAACAAAAGAATATTAATCCGGCAGCCATTTTTGAAAGTGGTCAATAAATACCACCTATTTGGTCAAGTGTTATGAAATTTTGAAGGTTAGCTAATGAAAGATATATAGTAAAATAAATAGCTTCCATTTAATCGCGTTTTACTTTCAATACTGTAACCAGGAATGGTTCAGCAGGAAAATCGCTTTGGACAACAAAATACATCTTCCAAGACGAAAAAACCTCCATCTAAAAAAGCATTAGCAGGGTTTTTGATTCTAAAATTCGTATATATATATTTTTTGATCTTCTTAATTTCACTGCAGTTTAGCCACTGAAGAAGACCATATTGTAACTCAACGGAAACGGAGGAAATGATTTTTTTCTGTAAGAATTGGTGGTTCAATCAAAGAGTATTCCCAAATATTGTATGGAGAAGTTACATGTTGGTCAATTCAGGTGGTGAACCGAAGATTAAACTGTTCTACAACTGTTGTTTTCAATATTTCAGACATAGATGAATGCAGAGAGTCGTCGCCTGTTTGTCTGCCAGGACAAAGATGTGTTAATTACCCTGGCACCCATTACTGCTCGTGTCGCAACGGGTATCGACTGAACAGTTCCGCCAAGAGATGTGAAGGTACATGCACAGTACAACCACTCCCGAGTTAAGCTAATCGTTCATAATCACGCGTTTTTCTCTTGACAATAGCCAATCCACCAACTTTTTAGTTTGAGTTTCATCCTTAGTCATTAGAATACACATTTAGTGAACATTTGGTTTCATGCTGGTTGCTCAATTTCGTGCTGCTGCACTGAAGAGATGATAAACGTAAAATTACCTGTACTCACGTTGGCACAGCTTAAAGAAAATATTGCAGAGGTCTCTGTTTAAAAATCTCACGCATTCAGCGCCGAATCTCTGGCTTTCAAGTGACATTTATAAGCTGTAATCATTAGTGGGGGTAGAATTAGGAACATACAGTCGTCATGGTTTCTTACACTTCTCTTCTCTCACTAGATATCGATGAATGCGCTGAGAGGCGGTCTGGCTGCAGGCAAATCTGCCAGAATACGCCAGGATCATTTGTATGTAGCTGTAGGAACGGCTTCAGGATGGCGTCCGATAGACGATCGTGCCGAGGTGAAGTTTAGTGCACTTTCTAAAATCAGGAAAGAATCAGATTAGAAGTTATGCACTGCAAATACTGATCACGTTTGTTCTCGTTCTCTTTAAATAGATGTAAACGAGTGTCTAAATTCTCCATGTTCCAGTAAAGCTACATGTAGGAATACTTTTGGTTCTTTTGTTTGCCAGTGCAAACAAGGATACGAGCTGCTTCCCGATGGACTGACATGTAGAGGTATTGTTTATAATAATTATTTAATAATTATTAAATATTATAATTATTTTGGAAAATTGCACGAAACATCGTGACGCTCAAAACTAAAGCCACAAATAGCATCGATTACAACCACTCAATTTTCCGCAGAGTACAGCTGGATGATTTTTTTTTGTACTTTTCATCATTTGACAAATGCCACATTGATATGGCTAAGCCAAATCTCACTGGCTCCCAAAACATTTTTTTTTTAATCCAATCAGAGCTCTAAATTGAATTATTGTATGAGCTATTTTAAATGACATTTGTCCCATTTTTCATGGTTTACCAGACAGAAACGAATGCGACAGCGTCACTTGTCCCCACAGATGCGTAAACACAGGAGGAGGGTACTATTGTATCTGTCCAAGTGGTTACAGTAACCAGTCTCGCTATTACTGCTCAGGTGAGGCTAACAACAAAAAATAGGTCTCTGGTTTGACTTTTTTCTTTTTTGAATGAGCACAAAAACTTAGAATGAGTCGAATACGAGGGATAATTTAGGGACTAGTTATCATTTTTTGTCCGGGGGGAAGGCCAGGAGGATTTTGGGGGGATCACATGGTTTTAAGGGGAACGGCGGTTATCAGCAGATCAACAGAGTATAAAGTGGAGACTATGAAAAATTGGTTGCTAATTGACTGCTGTTAGGGGGGGTATCGGCCGTATGGGAGGTAAATTTCATAGTGACACGACCAAAATCCTCTTACCACCCTCCTCCTTCCCCAGGTGATATCCACCCCCCTCCCCAGGTGATATATTACGACCGATCTCCTGGCTAATTTAGGTGATCTTCCATGCCAGGAGCACAAAATTTTTTTTGTACTTTACATAGCAAAGTAAAACTTCATTTTTTATTTTTTCAGATAAAGATGAATGCAAATCTGGTATAGCTAAGTGTAAAGACAATGAATTTTGTTTCAACACTTACGGCTTTTACCAGTGTATTCCAAAATTATCCTGTTCTTCAGACTACGTTAAGGTCAATGACAAGTAAGTGCCAAGAGAGATTGCCTCATTTAGTGAGTGGTATGGTAAGGATATGTGTGCACTCGAGCCAATCGGCCATCACCGTTACCGCTTAGTTTGTAGCGCGAAGTGACTCGGAGCATTGTTACTATCCCCAGATGGTATGCTAGTCCATGGAGGGCAATCAATGATTATTTCTTCAGATTTTCAGTGCTCGGTACATTATTGGAAACTGGTTAAGATCATACGCGTACAAACATCTTTTTATTCTTTTCAGCTCATCTGGCTGTTTTGAACCTTTTCTTTTCGTAATGCCGATCTCAATCGTCAGAAACTCATGTTTCTGGTAAATTGTCATCACCTCCGCTGTCGTTAACTTATCTCTTGTTTCTTCTAATTCTTGTCCTTTGTCAGGCGATGTGAGCGATCCTGCAACAGTGGTGACCGAGCCTGTTTGAATCAAAAAGTCCAGAAGAAGGACCTGTGGACTCACCGCATGCGAAACAACGAAACTTCATCAACAATCTTCAACTATCGCATTTACACCTATGGTAAGGACTCGTGGCCTTTAGGAAAACATGGGAATAGAGCACAGAATGGTGTCGTCAGCACTAGGCTTAGATAGGGAACCAGGCCTAGGTAGAGAGCTAGGCCTGGGCGCGGGTTGAGTAGCAATTTTTTCAGTTAGTTTTCACTGTGAAGTCGGATCGTTTCCTAGACCACGCAAGTGACAGATGCCTAATATTTTTCTTTTGATAAAGATCGAACTCAAACAATTTCTATCTATCTTAGTACATCTTAGAATATATCTCTGCTTTATAATTGGCTTATGCTAGCAGTTTGCAGGACGCTTGTCACATGGTAACATATTTTACTAACGTGGCTAGATCGCTAAGTCACTTACTGGACGCTGGTGAACAATTTAGGATTTAAACGCTGAAGTTTTCTTGAGTCGAACCCGATGCTTTAAATTGATTAGAGATGAAAAGATATGCATCTGAGTCAATTAGGAGTGAATTCGATTTGGAACGGCTTACTCTTTCTTCCTGCCTGGCTTATCCGTGGATTTCTTTTCTTGAACTTTTTACTTTTGGATGTAGTCTTCCGTGGAATTATAATGAGAACGATTATGGAGATATATTCAGTCCGAAGTTTAAATCAACAGGCGTAATTCTTTAAACAAATAGGGCTTCACTGCAAAAATAACTAAAAGGTACGATTTCAAATTCTTAGGAATGCGTAGGCAGTGCCTTTGTTAACGCTTTAATAACTATACTGTATTTTTTATAGGCTACAAAGGTCGACCAATGGTGAAATTCTATTTTCGACGCGGAAATGAACTAGGATTGTTCGAAATTCAGACGCAAGAGCAAAGAGATGGGGCATCCGCTACCATCCGAAACAAAGGAGGTATTATAGGCCGCAGGAGGTTCATCTTAGAATTCCATGGAGATGTTATTGACAGTGAGAGTGGTGATCTGGTGTCACGCTTCGAGTATCTCATGTACATTTTCGTATCACGTTACGATTATTAATCAGCGTCTATATGTCACATTACGAAAATTCTTCATCGTTTTGGCCCTCAGTTTAAAACTGTGCAAGATAGGTTTGAGGAGAAGATAAGAATCAAACGTAATAACCAAAAAACTGCGTGCAAGTTGTCGTAGGTATGACTGTGTACGCGTAAGAGTAAGACGATAATAAAAAAAAAAACACTTAAATTTCAGAGCAAACATTTTGTTTTTGCGCTTTTCAGTATGCAGTAATTATTATTTCATAAAGTTGGATTGTTAAATAGTTACCTTTTCACATGTTTATCTTTGCTAATATTCAAAGTGTTTTCACGACTGAAAATCTGGTACCAGGTAAACTTTGCTTTGCAAGTTAAGTTATGTCCAAGGTATCTTTTTTTGTCAGGGTTTTAGAAGTAAAGCATTGTGCGTTTATTCAACGCTGTTAGATTACACCAATATATATTCGACCCAAGTGAACGAAGCCTGTAAATCAATGATGACCTTTCGACGTCCTTTTGGCATAAGATTAGTATTCTTATTACCCGATGATATTTTTGGTATTTCAGTAGTTCAGTTTTACCCCAGCCTACGTTTATATCCTCAAATTTGTTGGTCTATGTTGTTAGATTTCTTGTAGTTTGGTTGGGGAATTGTAAATGTTTGCGTCAATTTCTTGACCTCAGTCTGAGGAGTTTGATCAGAAGACAGGAGTCGGTGAGAAAAAAGGTCAACGTTGAAGTCATGCAGTCTAAATAAATTGTGGCTGAAGGTCATTACATAATGTCTGATTATTCTAACCGTCTCATCTGTA